CCATGAACCATAACGCCTACACCCGACACCCCCAAACCCTAAAGCCCTAAACTCAGAACCATTCTCACATCTCTGGTTTGTGGTAGAATGGTCACAACCCATCGATCGTAGTTCCCACATTGCTAGCACCATACCATATCATAGGCAATTAAGACTTGAACAAGGCTGCTCATCAGGAAATTTCAGACCCCAGATAGAAACTTGCAATTGTAATGGGCCTCCCACTTTGCACCCTTTAGCACTTAGGCCTTGTAATAATATGCTAGTCAGATACTAGAGTGCTAAGATCGAGAGTCGATGTCTCGATGTCAAGACTCTGTCTGTGCCGAAGATCCAGCCACGGTATTCTGTATGTGGTGCATTGGATCGGGCCAAGACAAAGCTGGCCCAACATATGACAGATGGTCTGCTTGGCACTTAAACCATCGACAGACTGATGGAGAAAAATCAAGTGGTGCAGCTGCATGACAGTGATGTCACGCAGTGGACGAAGTGATGCCCACATGCCGGTCAACCACTGGCTCATGCCACATCCTATTGGGGACCCCCCCCTGCTCCCACCAACGTAGGTATAAGCTGCCCTTATAAGTACAGCCCAAATAACGATCCCAGCCCTAGCTAGCTAGAGATTCGGAGCAGCCATTGAAGTCGTGGGGTTGACCAATACATGTACAATGTCAAGCTAGAATTAGGGTAAACCCTTTGGGGTTTAGGGTTATGGGTTGTTTATATTGAAACTAAAGCTAGAGATACCCCATGCGCGCATTCATGCTTGTGGCTTTATAGGCCATGTAAGATTGGTGGGGCTGATCCGAATTAATTCGAACATAATCAATAATTCATTGGATGCTACGAACCACAACCCTGAAATGCAATAAGCCGAAACCTATGCCAGGCAACCATTGGGTGATATAGTAGCCAAACCTCAAAACAGTTCAACTCCAAATCACAATCTTGAGAATGGGGGGACTTACCATCCGAAGACTCAAGTTTGGGTAGTTTCAGTAGTTGGACCCCTCAGAAGCACTTCAACCCCAGACCCACACTTGGCTTCACGTTGTGGGAAGCCCTCTGTCTAAACCCTATGTACAGATCTGAAATCCTAATATAGTGTCTTAATGCACCCACCCTTAACCGCTACCTCAGCCTGCAACCTTGGGTCCCTGTCTAGCTCCCTATATAACCCACGGCCACGACTTTTATAACCAGTACAAGCAATAATAAGGTGGCGGTGTCAAAGGTCCGTCACATTGAATTCAGGTTGTAGGGGCAGCGTGATCATGAGTATGTCGAAGCAAATAATCAGTTGTCAATATGTAGCCATGTATGCCTGTAAAAATTTAATCGTTGAACCCATATGTCATGGTCCGAGTGCAATGCAATTGCAGTATAATTAAATACAATAATGAATATATGCATACTATGGTAAAGCTATGGCCAAATGTATACCCTAGTAACAATAATATGCTCTCCCAAATAATATAATAACATACAGACTACCCTAACCCCCTAAACCCCCTAAGTCCCCGCCTCGGCCCTCTAAACACCCTAAAGCACCTAAACCCTCAACCCCAAACCCCCAAACCCCCAAACCCTAAACCCACATCCGAAACCCTAATCCCTAGCCTAAACCTTAAACGCTAAGCCCTAGACCCTAAACTAGGTCCCAAAGTCTCGGAATCCCAGGTGGCGAGATTGCTGCCCTCGGCAATGGATTTGCAGAGGCTGCTTCAGCAGCTGCGAGGTGGCACCCTGCAGGTGCCGAGGTTGCAGGGTTTATTTGTGGACTTCAGCATTGGCGGACCCACTCATGTACCAATCAAATTCTGAGGTACCTGAGCTACCTCCGGATTGTGACAACTGGAAAGAAGCTGACTTGGAGCCTGTAAAGGAATATCTTTTGGGAGCGGTTGTGGAAGGAACTTTCAAGCCGGATCCGAATGTTCCTTGGGACACGAAACCCATCATGTGATTACGCCTAGATCTGGACTGCAGGGACATGTATAGGAATCGTGGATTGGGTTTAGGGGTCTGCTGGCCTGCCTGGATGGATATTCTTCCGCTTTGACTGCACCATGACCTCAGATCAGGCAGAGGGTGTGATAGTAACAGGACTTTGTAGTATATAGCAGTAGTATAGTGGTGGTGGTAGTAGCACTTGCAAGCTATATACAATCTAGCCATAGGATCCGGAGTAGGAGTAGGAGTGCTTGTAGCAATCGTAGTAATAGTACTCGAACTCCGAAGCAGCATTTGTTTAACAACATCAGCTAGTACCATTATATGGTTGAACCGAAGCTAGTTGTGAGGTGGCAGCAGTGGACTAGTAGTAGCAGCAGTAGTAGTAGTAGTAGTAGTAGCAGTAGCAGTAGCAGTAGCAGAGGCAGTAGCAGTAGTTGTAGCAGTAGCAGCAGTAGTAGTAGTTGTTGTTGTACTAGTATACTAGTACTACTGTCGATTGTGCAGTAGATGTAGCAGTAGCAGCAGCATTTGTTGTTGATTTCCACTGGGTGGAGAACCGGATACGCTTATTAACTAGCAATACGATATAGCTAAATATGTATAACATATATTATCGCTATATATTAATACATATATATTATATGTGTGTGTACATATATACAGCAGTAGTACAGGTGGCAGTAGTATGCATATTATTATTAGCAGATACTATTTGTCGTCGTAGTAGTGGTAGCAGTAGACAATTATCACAAGTTAATTATAATTAATTATTATAATAGAAGTAGTCGCATGCAATGTGACAGGGTATTATCCGGATCCAAGTGCTAGCAGAGGTGGCTGCTTCATGAATGTGGATCCTGAGATCATGGTGCAAGCAGCTGGTGCAGTGCATAGAACCGAAGTGTGCAAAGCTCAGCCCGGGCTGAGAAATGGAGCTGATATCCAGTTTATAATGATTAACCCAGCATTCCACAAGGAATACAAGGAACAAAGGATTATATTGGTATAGCACATGTACAGGTAGAATATGAAGTACATTGAATTATAACCAGCAATGTGATAATAATAGCATATACAAGTATCGAGTATGATCATAAGATATGGCATATAGGTATCTGCACATGCATGTATAACGTAGAGCTCTACATGTGCAGATACCTATATGCCATATATTATGATCATACTCGATATTTCGAGCATTGCTGGAATGTAGTAGCATAGCTATAGTGGTACCTTCGAAGTACACACCGAACCTGGGTACCTAGCAACTTTATGTCCATGTTGCAACACAGAGGGTTTGGTATATCCGGTTTATGTCCCGATCACACACGACCCGGTACCTCCCTGCCAGGGCTTCTCCACTGATGGGATGAACAATGTGATTCAACGAAAGTACAGTAGCTACAATCGTACTCGATTTGCTTTGATCGACCGATTGATATCTCTTCACTGCCTCAAAGCAATGCAATACAATCGGGAAACCTGAGAACACCTGTTTAGTTGCAGTTGTGTCTGGTCCAAATCCCAAATAGTAGGGTTTTAGATACCGAAATCCATCTATGAATGGGTTGTAGATCCTGAAACCCTACTATTTAAGTACTTGGACCCTTAGGGTTGTGTATTTATACGAACACCTAGGGCCACGATTTATGTAAGAGCATAAATATACATAGTATCCTCAGCAACATGGAGCGTAACTAAGCGTAACTTGGCGTAACTTTGGCGTGACTCTATATTGCCAAAAACCATTCCTGGAGAGGTCTTTCGAATATAGGCGTGACTCCCCCGTAACTCCGCGTAACTCTGTGTAACTGTGCATCCTCGTATATTGTCATTTGGGCTGAAACCTTCCCTGGAAGGCTTTTCTTAGAAAGATATAGGCTAGAGTGCTCTGGCCTCTTCGAGTCGGGTGCCGATGCCTAGCCTTAGCAAGCATGTTCCGAATCGGAGTGCTCCCTATCCTGCTTCGAATGGGCCTCCTGTTCGAAGAGTTGCTCGGATGACTATATGCAGGCTTATGTTATTACAATCGACATCAGCTATTCTGAAGTGAATACTATATAATATTACTACATGCTATCGAGGCTTCCTCGCGGGACTTGGATGTGTCGGCCGAGGTGGCAGCAGCTCTAGGCCGGAGGCTTCCACATATGTACGGCATGCATGCACATCTCTCATCAGGATCCTCGAAGTCTGTGTCTTATGTGTGCACATGTGCATGCATTCATGATATTCGATCTAACCTTAAAGTTTCGACTGTTGCAATTGTAGGCCAGCTGCACAAGACATGAAGCTTTAATTTTAAATTCCCAAACACCAAACCCTAGGCCTTGAAACCCTGAATCCTACACCCAAAAAAACTTTAACCACAAAAACCCTGAAACCCTGTAGCTTATATGTTAGTTCCCTGCAACCTGATAGACTATATGTGGGTCTGCTGTGCAGGCAAGAAGGCACGAGCTCCCACGGTGGCAGCCGCTGTACCGAAGAGTGGAGGTAAGATGGTGGCAACACCAGCATCTGCACGGCAAGCCTTGCAGGGCGACGGATCTGGTGGCACCCCTGTGAGGAGCCCTCCTTGCAAAAAAACGAAGTGCCCCCCTCCGATCCGACATAGTGCTAGTGGCTTGTCCGGTGCAAGCAACGGCTCGCAGCAGGGAAACCCGGCTAACTAGCATCAGTTCTCTAATATCTTTATAGTAATTATAATACTTACAAATTAAGTAGCAATAAGCAATAGCATGTATTATAATAGCTATATATATATATATATATACATACAATTATTATAAGACATCATCTCGAACATGTTTTCGCTGTATAATAATTCAAATACTAATACTAGTTTCTAATTAGATCTATTACAGCGTAGAGACTGTCTTCGGTGCCAGTGATGTAAGATCTAGATCATCTGAGATTGTGGAGCCGAGTATGTATACTAAATTAGGCCTGGGGGGGAGAGAGAGGGAGAGACAGAGAGAGAGAGATCGAGAGTGGGAGAGTGATGTAGCCGAGGCAAGGTCAAAGATATTGGCCGCATGGACACCCAGTCCACAATGCCGTGGGTGGGAATCGGAAGCCAAAGCTCCCCAGAACCGAAGGAGAGGCAGGTGCTGCTACTTGCGGACCTACTTCAACTTAACAAGGATGAGCTCGGGCAAGCATTGTTTTTCCCCACGGACGAATGGCATCTGGGACCAGGGGCAGCTAGCTTCCGGGAGTACATTCTCAACGACCTGGTGGATGACTTTGCTGAGCCGATGGTGGACACAGCAGATGGGCGCAATGTGGAGGCCTTGATGCAGGTGTACAACATAACTGTTGAACTGGTCAGGGAAGCCAAGAAAGCAGCTGCTGTGCAGGATGAGTTCCTGTCGAAAGGGTATGCTTCAGTCAAAAGCACAGCCGAGAAATCGGTGCAGAAGGTGCTCCAAGCTGCAGCAGCAGAGGCTGACAAAGAAAAGGCGCAGCGCAAGCAAGTAATGGCTGAGCGATGGCTTTCAAGGGAGATGGAGGCATTGAACCTGAGGCGTGATACTGTGACCGTTCAGGCTGCAAAAGCTGCTTCGTATGCAGCTGCCAAAGTTCATGCCCTGATCGGGCACTTGAGGACGACAGGTATGCTGTCCCAGGTTTTCTTTGAGTCTATGGAGTCCTGGCAGGAGATGGATTCGACGGTTTCCTTGGCTCAGCATGTCAAGCATGCAGAGCTGCCTGTTTCTGGAGAGAATATCCCGGAGACGATTCCCGAGGTGGAAGAGACATTACAAGAGCAACCGTTTCCGGAGGGCAACGATGGACAGCGAGCCGATGATGTTATGAGTCCACCCCAGCAGAGCAATGGGCAACCAGCTGAGGCAGTGGCAGTGCAGAAACCACCCCCAAACCCCAAACCAAACCCCCTAAGCCCCTGAACCCCCTACCTAAACCCCCCGACCTAAACCCCCTAAACCCTCCAAACACTGCACCCCCTACCTGAACCCCCTACCTCAACCCCCTAAGCCCTCTAAATCCCGATAACTTTAACCCCCCACCACAGCAGGTCAATGGGCAACCAGCTGACTCAGTGCAGAATCCACCACAGCAGGGCAATGGATCACAGCAGCCACCACAGCAGGGCAATGGACAACCAGCCGAGGCATTGCAGAATCCACCGCAGCAGGGCAAGGTGTAACCAGCTGAGGCAGTGCAGAATCCACCACAGCAGGGCAATGGACAACCAGCCGAGGCATTGCAGAATCCACCACAGCAGGGCAATGGGCAACCAGCTGACCCAGTGCAGAATCCACCACAGCAGGGCAATGGATCACAGCAGCCACCACAGCAGGGCAATGGACAACCAGCCGAGGCATTGCAGAATCCACCGCAGCAGGGCAAGGTGCAACCAGCTGAGGCAGTGCAGAATCCACCACAGCAGGGCAATGGACAACCAGCCGAGGCATTGCAGAATCCACCACAGCAGGGCAATGGGCAACCAGCTGACTCAGTGCAGAATCCACCACAGCAGGGCAATGGATCACAGCAGCCACCACAGCAGGGCAATGGACAACCAGCCGAGGCATTGCAGAATCCACCGCAGCAGGGCAAGGTGTAACCAGCTGAGGCAGTGCAGAATCCACCACAGCAGGGCAATGGACAACCAGCCGAGGCATTGCAGAATCCACCACAGCAGGGCAATGGGCAACCAGCTGACTCAGTGCAGAATCCACCACAGCAGGGCACTGGATCACAGCAGCCACCACAGCAGGGCAATGGACAACCAGCCGAGGCATTGCAGAATCCACCACAGCAGGGCAACGGACAGCCAGCCGAGGCATTGCAGAATCCACCGCAGCAGGGCAATGGATCACAGCAGCCACCACAGCAGGGCAATGGGCAACCAGCGGAGGCATTGCAGAATCCACCACAGCAGGGCAATGGGCAACCAGCTGAGTCAGTGCAGAATCCACCACAGCAGGGCAATGGATCACAGCAGCCACCACAGCAGGGCAATGGGCAACCAGCGGAGGCAGTGCAGAATCCACCACAGCAGGGCAATGTGCAACCAAAGGCAGTGCAGAATCCACCACAGCAGGGCAATGGATCACAGCAGCCACCACAGCAGGGCAAGGGCAATGGGCAACCAGCTGAGAATCCACCACAGCAGGGCAATCAGCAGCAAGCCGATGCAGTACAGAGTCAGAGCAACAGTGCAGGTGCTGTCCAGGTGCAGTGCTCAGTCGTTTGGATTGTGGTTAATGTGGCGTCGTTTGGAGTCGGGTTATAGTTAGTACTAGTGGGTATGTATATATATATATATGTATGCATTTTATAGAATAACTAAATACTAGCATAGAATAACAGCAACAATTATTAATTAATAAGTATATTATAATTTATCATAATATGTATATATATATATATACAGTAGAAGCCAGAAAATTGGAACATGGATTTAGGAGGATTAGTGCTAGGATCCCTGTTATACTTTACTTTAAGGGCATGAGGATAATGATGTTCCAACTTTCTGGCTTCTACTGTATATATATATATATATACAATATTATTAGACTAGCTTCATCTTGCTTTGTGTTGCAACTTAAATACCTCTGAGCCCTAATCGCCTAAACTAGTTGCCCGGATTCGAGCCCGATGCCCCCTAGACCCCTTTGGTGCAAATGTGCTCACCAGGTGCCTACCCAAGCTATCGACTGTGATGAGATCGATGATGATGAACTGGTGAGCCAACTGGAGGCTGCCCAGCTACAAACAAATAATATGTTTAATGGTTCTGGCTACCGATGTTATCCTGATTGAACAACCCCTGCAGGCAATGCTGGCCATGAAGCAGGAGCCCGAGGATCAATCGTTCACCAAGGTGGAGGCCAAGAGTCCTGACAGGAACGGGGGCTCAAGTATCGGGGCGGCTGGGGCAGTTGACCTTTGTTCAGATGACCCCTACTTGGATGCAGTCGACCTTGGTTCGGGTGACCCCTCTTTGGATGCCGGAGTGCAAGCAAAAGCTGCTGTGGATAGTGCATTGCGGAGACTGGCAACGGGTGACATCGAGGACCTTCCTCGTAATCGAATCAAATCAATACATCGTAATTTCGAGTCTATCCAATATTTAGTAGCATATTGAAGATTCGTCGATCCTACCTAAAAACCTCTAATCCTCTAATTACTGTGTCGACACCTACAGTGTGCAATCATATGCAGGAGAAAACCCGCCTGGCAAAGCAACAGGTCCAAAAGCAGATTGAGAAGCAGCCAGCGCCAGCCGTGAATCAGCAGCAGATCGCAGCATCTGAGCTTGATGGAGAGGAGCTGGATGAACAGGATGATGAGGAGGCCAGGATTGCTGACTTAGCAAGGAGGTCGGCCCGTGCAAGAATGATGCGAACTCTGAAGCGAGCCCTGTCTTACTAAATTAAATAGCCACACTGCAACTCAAGCTATAGTGCAAACAAAATTAGGTAGAAGTTACACGAAAACTCTAGTGGAATCCACTGTGGGGTAGACTATTCATAGCCCGTGCTGTTAGGCTTAAATAGATTTGTGTTCGGTTTAGGCTGGCATTCCTTATTATTATTGCACAACCCAGGTGATGATCTACCTCCTGCCATTCGGCAGAAAGCAATTCAAGCCCGCAAGGGTAGCTTGGACATTGATTTCATGTGTTGTTTTGGTGTAGCCTAGCTATATATGCTATAGCTAGTGTTCGGCCATGATATAATAATGCCACCAACTAAGATCGGAAGTATGCGGACTTGCTGGATGAGTTTATTCGGTGTGGTGAGGTTTGGACCAGCAGCAGCCTGGTCCAAAACTCGTCATCAACTGAAAGATCCAAGCTAGCAGGAGGCCGCAGCTACAAGATGTTCAAAGACATTGTGAAGGAACACGGACAAACCGACGCCGAGGGTCTACGCGAGGACAAGAAGGAGAAACAATCTACACTGGGTGACTTCCAACCGGGGGTGCCATTCTGGTATCCGCATCCGGACTTTCCCAAAAGCCTTGATCTTTGGACTTATGTTATGATATGATTTCGATAAAGTACCTTTAAGTTTGCCTGTTGTTACTCTGATGATGGGCTCTTGAAACTTTGAAAGCTTTGCAGACCTGAGGCTCACGAATTGTTCCTCTGTTTCGATGGCGCTACTCTTTCGACATTGAACGAGAATTCCGTGCACACTGAGGAGAGTGTGGCTGTGAATCTGGACAGTGGATTGACCCGTGATCTGAGGTGCCCTTGACGGTTTATGACCCCACTATTCGGTCTGAGCTTGTGGCTAGGTTTGTTGTGTACTGTAAATCCGCTAGAATACAGATCTAGATAGTGGTAGTACAACTTCCACATTAATGCAACAAGCTTTGCCAAGTCTAAGTCCCAGAAGTCCGAGAAGTGTCAAAGCAGAGGTTAGACCTAGTAATTTATAATTATTAGTATTATAGTTACATAGTACATTTTAATTATACAATTATAATAGTATAATTGTAGCATTATTATACTAGTAATGAGTAATTAATTTATACGATACAAATTTCATATACAACTAGCACACTCCTCACCCCAATAATCAAGACACCTGGATGCTGAATTGGGGCCCATTAGAAAAAACCTTCAACCTTCTTCATCCCAGGTCCGGTCTGCAGCCGACTGTCTCGGATCCCACCGGATGTGGAAGGTCCTTGCAGCCAGCACTCAGCTCCGATAGCCTTGGTGGAACACCCGGTGGCAAAGGCAAAGGAAAGACCAAGACGAACCCCAAGGGCAATACCGAACCCAACAAAGCGAAGAAGGCCCCCAACTACGCTGGCAAAGCCAACGGGAAGGTGAAGCTGGGCCGAACTACCTTGACCGATGCCAAGTATTGGATAAGGACGATCCACGATGACCAGAAGATCCCGGACCCCAGCAAGCGCAAAGTGCACCTTACCTAATTATAAAGCCTAATAATTGTGAGGTAGTTAGCTAAATCTAGTGTACTTATTATATAGTCTGCATTCGTATTCTATTGCAATGCATTTTAAAAATATCTAAACACAGTTAGGCCTTATATTTAAAGCGATGCCACATAATTTCACATCCGAAATTAAACCTAACTCCCATCGGAAGTCCACTAGCCACCAACAAGCCCGAAGCTATCCAGTGTCCCATGGGCCATGCTCCACCATTGCCCTAAGCCCTCAGCCCCTAAGCCCTTCCCCCTAAAAGCCTAACCCCTTAAATCAATGTGTTAACATCCCAGGTCCGGTGATTTGGCCAAAGGCTACATTTCCCAGATCCACCTGTACCAGAGCCCGATGGAAAAAGCAACGGAAGCCTTGGATTGGAAACTGGTTGAAGGTGTAAAGGACGAGGCCACGTTAGCCCCGCTCGTGACTACCCTCGACACTGCTGTGGAAAACTATGGCAATGCTATCCGCCCAATCAAGGCACTCTTCGTTGCCCAGCTGCATAATTGCCTTCGGCCGTGGTTTTCGTTTGATTCCCACTAGCAATGTCTTATCATATCATATCCGATCTAAGGCTGAGCCTGACCCCAACAAGGCCTCTAAGAGTGGTGGCTCGAAGAAGCAAAAGGGCCCGGGCAAATCTGCCTGAAGAGTGCATGGGGCCACTCGTTGATTTTGGGATCCGGATTGCACTATACGAACACGTGTGAGATATCACATGTGCTGGTATGTGAGTGGAGCCATTCGGTCATGCATCCGACTGCCCCAGCTGTACAAATCTATAACAGCAATAAGTCCTGGCCCTGAACCCCGCAAATGTAAAACCCGTACATTGGCAGGTTGTGCTTGAGCAGGGGTACATCAGGCTTAACAAAGCTGGCTAGCACAGTCGGTGAGTGACCTTAGTTCATGGCAAAGCAACACCAATTGCAATTGCAAGTACAGTGCATCCTTGTGTTAGACAGACTTGGGCAGAAAAGCCCTTAGTGTGGGGTGTGTTACCGTGCATCAGTGAAGCTACGATGCCCTCACTGACAAAACTGGGACCTTTGCCTGATTGCCTTCTTGTCATGCAATGAGCTTGGAAAGTGCACAGCCTGGCCACTCTGACCCTTGAACTGAAATCAAATTGTGTCCTGCGCAGATGGCCTTCGATACCGTGCGGGTCATCTATGCCAGCAATTGCACTCGATGATCTCAGCTGGGGACTGATATCTATGCTCTAATATTAAGGTTTTGCTTGGGTGTGCAAGCTTGTGTTCGATACTTCTATGATGGGTCCGATAAGGCTTTTGACCTAGTGGTGTGGAGTCAATTCGGTGCTTCGGTGTTTAAGGGATTTGGGGCTTGTATGTGTGTTGGGGAAACGGCCATGTTTGGGCTGGACATTGATGATGGTCCAACGGTTGTGATGCACCCCGACACTGAACCCTAGCTTAAAACCCTACAGCCCTAAAGGCTTGAATCCCTGCTGCAAGTGTATCATGATCAGGCTCAAGTATCCTATAATAGATAAATATAAATCTTGAACTGTGACTAGCTATAGAGCCCTGAACACTGTATGTATGACACCCGAAGGAACTAAGTACTTATATATTAAGTATAATTAGGCATACCCAAAGCAATAAAGAGTGAAAAACATCAGCTACACTTCGGCCCAGCGTGTGGCCCATGCTGCTGTGCAGGACTTCCCGACATTACAGCCTGGTTGTTTTAAATTCTTGGCCACTGTATTTACACGAGACCCATCAACTAAATTTAATCATATTATAATTTTACACAAGTCTAGCTAGATGCTATGAGTATCTAATAACACGTTCAGTACACTTGCTCAGCTTAACACCCGATGCTCGAACCCCAGCACAACATCATTTGCACCAGGCATGTTTAACCTCCAACTGAAGTGTTGTC